CCGTCCGGATTCATCCGAAATCGAAATCACATTCCGGTTTTTCCTATATGTAGCCATACGTCCATCTACATAACCATGATTTCCCTGTCCATGTCTTTCTCTCACGGTGCCTTCGACCTGCAAATGAAAAACAAGAAGAAAAAAAACGGGAAAAACACACGAAAAACACAAAGAAAACCAAAATGGAACAAAACACATAATAAAACACAAAACGAACTAAAAACTCACGAAATGACGTAAAACGAGGAAAAATGAGGGGAAAAGAAGAACAAAAAATATAACGAAAATGCAACAAAAATGGTACAAACAAATAGCTTGCAGAACTTAGTGAAGAATGATGGGTCTGTGTGTAGAAACTCCCAGGAAACTGTGAAAGAACTGATGATCTATTTTCAGACCTTGTTCAAATCTTCTAATCCTCTGGTTGATAGTTGTGATCTGAGTGGTATTCCAGTTTCTATTTCTGCTGACATGAATAGGGAGCTTACCAGAGAAGTGACTGTGATTGAGATTAAAACATCTTTGATGGAAATGGATCCTAATAAAGCCCCTGGGTTTAATGGGATGACCCCTGGGTTTTTTGAAAATTCTTGGGAGGTTATTAAGGATAAACTATGTCTTGCTGTTCAGAATTTTTTTAATCATGGTAAAATGCCTAGGAACATCAATCATACAGTGGTTACTTTGATCCCTAAGAAGAAGAATCCTATACATGTGGCTGACCATAGACCTATCAGTCTCTGTACTGTGGTCTACAAGATAATTGCTAAAAATTTTAGCTAATACACTTAAACTGGTTCTTCATTGTTGCATATCTTCTTCTCAATCAACATTTGTTCCTGAAAGAACAAATTTTAGATAATGTAGTGATAGCTTCTGAATGTATTCATTTTTTAAATGGCAAAAGGGCTGGTAAAGAGAAGTTTATGGCAATCAAACTTGACATGACAAAAGCTTATGATAGAGTAGAGTGGAACTTTCTAGTTACTATCTGCTTAAAAATGGGTTTTTGTAATCAGTTTGTTTCTTGGATCCTTGCCTGCATTTGTTCATCTTCATTCTCCTTCAATGTTAATGGTAGTAATCTTGGTTTTGTTGTGCCCACTATAGGCCTAAGGCAAGGTGACCCTTTGTCTCCCTATTTGTTTGTTTTAGTTTCAGAAGCTTTCTCTAATTTGATTAAGCAGGCTTGTTGGAGAAAAGAGTTTAAAGGGATCAAAATTGGTAAACATTCTCCTATTGTGTCTCATCTATTTTTTGTTGATGATTCTCTCCTTTTTTGTAAAGCTGACCTTCATCATGCTCATTTGGTGTTGAAAATTCTTAAAGAATATGGAGATGCTTCTGGCCAATTGGTCAATTTGTCTAAATCTTCTGTATTTTTCTCTAAAAATGCTTCTGAGGGGTCGAAACAGGAAATCTGTGTGGTCCTGAATGGAATTTCGAAGGTGAGTGCTGCTAAATACTTAGGGTTGCCTTTGGGGGTGGGGAGATCTAAAAAAGAAACATTTCAATTTGTTACTGAGTATGTCAGTAAGAGAGTGAGTGGGTGGAAAAATTTCTTTTTGAGTGAGGCAGGGAGGGTAACACTTATTAAATCTATCCTGGAAGCCCTTCCAACTTATGTTATGTCTTGCTTCAGGCTGCCTATTTCAATTTGTAATTCTATTTTCAAGGAAATTGCTAAGTTTTGGTGGGGTTCTTCTGAGTCTGGGAAAGATAGGATACACTGGTGTGATTGGGAGTTGTTATCCACATCTATATGTGATGGGGGGTTAGGTTTTAAAAACTTTAGACTTTTCAATGAGGCTTTGATTGCTAAGCAGCTATGAGGGTTTTAACCAACCCAAATCTCCTTGTTAGTAGGTTCTTAGAAGGAAATTATTTTGGGATCAGAATATTAGAGAGGTGAAAGCTAAAAACAGTGACTCATGGCTTTGGAAGAGTTGGTTAGTGGCTAGGGATACTCTGAAATTAGGCATGAGATTTCATGTAGGAGATGGTCAAGCTATTGACATTTGGGACTCTCCTTGGTTGTCTACTTCTTTGGGATTTTGCCCTAAGCTGTGTTTTGAGAGTGATAAGCGTAGATTGAAGAAAGTGAGTGATCTGATAGATCAGAGTGGGTGGCATTGGGATGAAGAATTAATTTTTCAAACTTTTTGTGCTAATGATGCAGAACAAATCCTTAAAATTCCTCTAAGCCATTCCAGGCCAAAGGATAAATTGATATGGCATGGGCATCCCAAAGGCCTCTTTGTGGTGAAAGATGTGTACAAGGTCCTGCAAAATCATTACCAGCAGAAACATCAAAATGCAAGTTCCAGCTCAAGAGCTCAAATATTGAGGGCCATGTGGAAGACTACCTGGAAGAGACCTATCAAGAACAAAATTAAAAACTTCATCTGGTCGTGCTGGTATGGCTTCTTACCGACTAGCAACCAGTTGATAAAAAAACAGATGATGGTTGATAGTGTCTGTTGTATCTGTGGAGAGGAGCCAGAGAACTTGGAACATATCTTGTTCAGATGTTCTAGGGTTGTTCTGTGCTGGAAATTGCTGGGGATTCAATGGAATCAGCTGGGGAATGAACATGCTAAATTTACAGATTGGTGGGAGGATGTTAATAATGGAAGAGAGGATCAATACTTTCAAGACAGAATCAATCTCTCCACTTACCTGCTGTGGTGGTTGTGGAGAACCAGGAACTCATGGTTGTTCAATAAAACCAGAATAACAGAGAAGGAGTTGGTTGATGGAGCAAGAAAAGAATGGATTGAATTCGAGTCTGTAGTAGAAAAGGAGGATGTGTAGCTGAGAATGGAACACAGAGGTAGAAATCCCAATGGAACAGCAGTAGGACAAATATCACTATTTGTCAGTGCTTGCCAATTTCCAGAGGGAGATGGGGGGTTTGGAGGTGTGATGGAGTCAGTTGAGAACTCAATGCAGTGGAAGGCAAAAGGTGAATCAACTAACAACAAGGAGGAAGCTAATCTGAAAGCTGTCAGATGGGCCCTTAAGAAAATAACAGCAAACACAAACTCGAGGATTCTATGCCATGTGGATTCCTTAATCACAGCTGAGGTGCTCAATGAACAGAGAGTGGTTGATTCAGAAGTTCAAAGCATTGCAGATGAAGTTGTAAAATTGATGTCTAAATTTGATTCTTGTTCTGATATTTATGACACATTATCTTGTTCTAGATCTTTTATTTGTGCCCTTGAGGCTTTGTAGAAGGACTAACTGTTGGTTCTTCTTGGCATGTAGTCACTTGGTTAGAGTGTGCTAGATTGTTGTTATCCAGTGGGATAATCCTTGTAAGACATTGATATTTGAGTTTATCTTATTGATTGTTGTTGCTGTTGAAAAAAAAAAGACCAAACTATGCACAGAAGCAACACAAATAGTTTTTAAAAAAATTAATAAGGGTGACGGGTTCTACGGCAAATTGGTTATCACAAAAATAATATTTGATCAGTTATCTTTGATTTTGAAAACTGAAAGTCGTGTTTTAACAATCCAGCGTGGGTTCAATTTTTATGCCACATAATTTGCTTATTTTATCAATATTTTAATTGTATTTATGTGCATAAATTCTTTTTTTAACAGATTACTGAAGATGGAAGAGAGCAGAATATTGTGGCAATTAACAGTAAAGGGAAGGGATCTGCATGCCCAGAATCTAGTAAGCCAAAACATATCTCATGAAAAAGGCAAGCTAGAGAAGTTGGCAGACTTCAGAGGAACCAACAGGGGTCAGAGGTGGTCCAGCAGGAAAAGCAGTTGGTTAAAAGAACAAGGCAGCATGGGGATGAGCAAGAGACTGAGGGGAGTCAATTACATCCCAAGAAGAAAACCGCAATGCAGAAACAACTTCAATCTGAAAAGGTGGGGGTAGGCAGCCTAGAGTGGCCCCATCTTGATCAATGAAGACCATATGGTGGAACTGTAGAGGTCTGGGAGGGCCCTCTACAGTCTCCCAATTGAAGGATGCCATTAGAATCCATCTCCCAAGTTTTGTGTGTATTTTTGAAACTAGAAAAACAAAAAAATTTGTTGAAACTGTTTGTAAGAAGTTAGGTTTTGCTAATAGATATGTGGCTGTTGACCCTATTGGTATGAGTGGGGGGATTTTGATGTTGTGGTCTGCTGAGGTGGAAGTGGTTAAAGTTCTCCATCATTCTTTTTGTATCCAAGTGGAATTCTCTCTACCAGGATGGACTGAGTCTAGCTGGCTGATTATGGTGTATGGCAGTGCTGATAAGAGGAACAAAGAAGCTCAATGGAAATTACTTGAGGAAGACAGAAGACAGTGGGGAAATAAGTGGGGCATAGGAGGGGACTGGAATGAGATATGTGGCAGTTCTGAGAAGAAAGGGGGAAGAGCTAGATCAGAGAAGAGCTGTGAAGGTTTCCTGAAGTTCATAGCCAATATGGGGATGCAGGAGATTACTATGGAGGGATATCCATTTACCTGGGGTAACAATAGACAAGCAGAAGGCTTTGTGGAGGAGAAACTGGATAGAGTATTTGGGTCCTTTGGCTGGTTGGCAGCTGATCCAGAAGCTAAAGTCTTCACTCAATTCAAAAGCTCATCTGATCACTTTATGTTGATATTGGAGTCAAGGATTTCTAAACCTAAATTCAAAAAAAGGTTTATCTTTGATAAGAGATGGGTTAAGAAGGAGGAGGTGATGGAGGTTGTTTCTCAGGCTTGGAAGGAGGGGGAAGATGGAACTCCAATGTTTAAATTTAAGGAAAAATTGAAGAAAACCAGAATGGCTCTAACCAAGTGGAGCAAAGCCTTAAAAACTGACAATGCCAAGACGATTGAGAGACTATCTCTAAGCCTGGAAGAGATGAGAAGGTTGGGTGGTCAGAGGAATTGGGTTGAGTGGGAGAAGCTGAAGAAAGAATTGGATCAAGCTCATATGGCTGAAGAAGAGTCTTGGCACCAAAAAGCTAGAGTGCAATGGATTAAAGAAGGTGATAAGAACACTAAGTTCTTCTATGCCCTTACAATGCAAAGAAGGAAGGTGAATGCTATCTCGAGACTGGTGGATGACAATTTTGGAGTGGCTTCCTCTCAAGATCAAATAGAGAAGTGTATAGCTAATTTTTATCAGTTGCTGTTTACTACTGAAGGCTCTGAGGGGGAGCAGGAGATCTTGAGGTTGATTCCCAGATCAATCACTGAAGAACTTAATGATAAGCTTATTGCACCAGTGGATGAAGAAGAAGTGAAAGCTGCTCCGTTTTCTCTTAATCCCAACAAAGCCCCTGGGGAAGATGGTATGACACCACTTTTCTTTCAACATTTTTGGTTGATTATCAAGGATGATCTTTGTTCTGCTATTTTCAGTTTCTTTGAATCTGGAATGTTATTGAAGAGTTGGAATCATACTGTTATTACCTTGATACCAAAATGTATGAATCCTACTTCTCTTAGTCATTTTCGTCCTATAAGCCTGTGCAGTGTTTCTTATAAAATTATTGCCAAGATCATTTCTGTGAGACTTAAAGATTGTCTGAAATTTTGTGTTCATGAGAGTCAGTCTGTATTTATTCCTGAAAGACAACTTATGGACAATGTGGTGCTGGCTCAGGAGGTTATTCACTATTTAAATAAACACATAAATGGAAAAGTCAGTTTTATGGCTGTTAAGCTTTACATAATGAAAGCTTATGATAGAGTTGAGTGGAATTGTGTTGTGAAAGTAATGCTTCAAATGGGATTCAATTCTGTGTTTGTGAAGTGGATTTTTGCTTGCATTTCCTCTTCTGCCCTCTCTTTCAATGTTAATGGTAGAGTTTCTGGCTTTGTTGTTCCATCCAGAGGGTTAAGGCAAGGTGACCCTATTTCTCCATACCTATTTATTCTGATATCTGAGATTTTTTTCAAATTGATCATGCAAGCTAATGGTAGTGGAGAAATGAAAGGAATTTCAGTTACTAGGGGAGGCACTGCTTTAACTCATTTACTATTTGCTGATGATTCTTTATTATTCTGTGCTGCGGATGTGCAAAATGCTTCTTGCTTGTTGAATATTTTGTGGAAGTATGAGAGGTTTAGTGGGCAGAGAGTTAATTTACAGAAGTCTTCTGTGGTTTTTTAGTAGAAATGCCTCTCCTCAGCTAAAATCAGATATTTGTCAACTGTTGGATGGTATTGTTGTGTGTTCCTCTTCTAGATACCTTGGTTTGCCTTTGGGGATTGGCAAGACAAAGATTGAGGTGTTTGATTTTGTTCTGGCTGCTGTGAAAAAGAGATTAATTAGTTGGAAGAACAAGTTCTTTTCCACTGCTGGGAAGGAAGTATTGTTGAAATCTGTGATTAATTTTCTTCCAATATTTGTTATGTCCTGCTTCTCTTTACCTGTGACTGTGTGCAAGCAGATCTCAAATCTTTGTGCAGCTTTCTGGTGGTCTAAGGGGACTGATCATGGGAGGGGTATTCATTGGATGGCATGGAATAAGGTGACTACTCCTAAAGAAGCTAGGGGTTTGGGGTTTCAAGACATTAGACTTTTCAATGATGCCCTGATTCTTAAGCAAATATGGAGGCTTCTTACTAAACCCAACCTGTTGTTGACAAAAGTGTTAAGAGAGAGGTACTTTCCTTCTGGTTGTGTGCTTGATGCTAAAATCACAGGTTCTTCTTCCTGGGTTTGGAGTTGCTGGAGCAAAGTGCTTAAAATTCACAGGCAATGTTTTGTGAAGGAGATCAAGGATGGGCTCACTACCAAGGTACTGTCTGATCCCTGGGTTCCTTCCTTATCTAATGGCATTCCTTTAGTAGCTGCAGATGCTCAAATATCAGAATCTCTGAAAGTTGCTGACTTATTAGAGGATGGAGGCAGAAGTTGGGATGCAAATGTCATTAGGAGGATTTTTACACCTCATTCTGCTGAAGCTATTCTGAAGATCAAAAGTATGGACCCTGCAAAGAGAGATAGATGGAATTGGTCTGGAGATCCAAAGGGCTTGTTTTCTATTTCCTCTGCCTATGCAAAAGCCATGGTGAAGAAAGTTCTAGGATTGGATAGTCCTCAAAGCAGTAATGCTGGGAGCAAAGATAAAGAAGCCAGGCTCAGGTGTTGGAAGCTAAGGGTGAAAGTGAAGTTGAGACATTTCTTGTGGAAAGGTATCACTAATACTTTGCCAACTTGTACCAATTTATGCCACAGGGGTGCTGCTGTGGACTGGATTTGCCCTGTCTGTGGGGATGTGGCTGAGACATCATGGCATCTATTTT